TATCATGTTTCTCACAACTCACAACATAATCATGTCCACGCATAACATATAGCAACTTTATCAACTTAATTTCAACATGCTTCAACAATATCATAGATCAACACACAACTTGTAAACAACTTCACAACTTAACTACAACATGCATCTCATTTACATCTCATCTTCATCATGAAAGCATCACCAACAACATCCTTAATAAATATTTAATCATATATTAGCAACACACAACATTTTCACCACATAACACAACTCATACTACATATTTACAACCTATCTATTATGCCAACTTACACACCCAAACAATACTAATCAACCTAAGCACCCAAATGAGTTCTCAACTCACATACAACCAACAACTTTACAATCTAGCTTCCCTTACCTGAAGATTGGCTCTAAAAGCCAAGAATCTAAAAGGAAGAAGAAGAAGAAGAAATATCCTCCAAAACTTGACTCTTGAACTTCAACTCTCCAAAAATAGCTTTCTAATCTAGAGTCTTTCTCTCTAGAACTTCTCTCTAAAATCTCTTCTCCTTCTCCTCAACTACACAACCTCTATTTATAGAAGTCTGAAGTGGCCAGAACGCCCCGTTTCAAATTTGGAACAACTCGTTTCAAATTTGGAACGGCCCGTTCTGGGCTCCTTCATCATGTGTAAAATTCACATATAGAACGGTCTGTTCTGAAACCAGAACAGTCCGTTCTAGCACGTCTAGAACGACCCGTTCTAAAATCGGAACGACTCGTTCTAGAGTGGAATTTAACTCACAATGACCATTTTGAAACGGCTCGTTCCAGTCCAAGATTCATAGGCCTATTTAGTAGTTTGGAACGACCTGTTCCAGTTTGGGAACGACCCGTTCTAGGCTACTAAATCACCCTTATTTTAGTAGTTTGGAACGACCCGTTCCAATCTGGGAATGCCCCGTTCCAGTCTACTAACTACGTTACAAAAATAAATATAAAACTATTAACATCTATTTAAAATTATAAAATTAATAATTTTTATATATGTATATAAAAATAAGTAGATATATTTAATAAGATTTCATTAAAAATAGTCAACTAATTTTTCAATGAATATGCATGATTTCATCTATGAATATTTCATACTAATAATATAATAAAATAAAATAAAAAAATAAAATTGAACAGATATAATAAGGCTTAAGTGATATTTATTGGTTTTCTTTAGATGGTGGAGAAGATAGCCAACGGATATATACCACTTTATAAATGATTATATTGGTCGAAGATGATGTGTGTAGTTTGGTGTAATTAGTAGGTATAAGCCACTTTATTGGGATTTCCCGCTAAGTGATGGCATCCTAGCTTGCATGAACTTAAGATGAAGAGCAAGGGAGAGGACGCCTACTCCAAGGATCAAGTCCTCCAAGGGTGATGCGTGATTTAGAGAAGGAATAAGGTGGAATGTACGAAAATGGAGAGTGTGGGTGAAGTGTTTGATGAAAGGTTTGAGAGGGCACTCTAGGGTTTGGCTCACTTCAAGGTAGATGAAGGTCACTTCTAGGGTTTTGATCTCAAGGTGCAGATAAGATGGGTGGTGGCCGGATTTAGCCAAGGGTGACTAAGGATGATATAAAGGCAAAAATGCTCTCTTTATATTCAATTTCTAAAGTATTTACATGATGCATAGCCTAGGGTATTTATAGGAGTGGGAGGCATCTAGGGTTGCATTTGGAGAGTGCATGGCCGAAATTCACAAGCCAAATGCACACCAAATGAAATCCAAATTAACCCTAGATGCAACTTGGTGGCCAATGATGGAATCTTTGACCTTTGCCCTCCACTTGGGCCTAAGCCTTTCTAACACCAAAAATAGGTCCAATAGCCATAAAAGTACGTCTAAGTTTTTGTTCCCACCCTAATCAAATACCTTAGCCCAAAAATAAAATCCTATGATCTAAAACACCCCATAATACAAGGGTAAAATGAGAAATACAAAAGAAAACAAATCCTATGACTAAAATACCCAAAATACAAGGGTAAATTTGGAAATACAAGTAAAATAGATCCTATGTCTAAAATACCCCAAAATACAAGGGTAAAAATGGAAAATCAAAGACAAGAGAAAAATAAGAATAAAAATAAATGCTATGTTAATAAAAACTTAGGAGCTAAGGTCCAAAAGTGGCCTCACTCCTCCTATGATTTTTCAACACTAACCCATTCCTTTTGCTTCCTTCAATACATCACCTCTTGGACTTCTTGGCCTTAATGTTATTCCATCACTAAGATCATTGTCTTGTACACATATTAAGGTTGGAACGTAGTTTCTGATAACCTTTGAGTGCGTGTTTGGAAACGCGTTAAAAACATGAAAATCACGTAATTCATCCTAGAAAACGTGGAAGCTATAGTTATTAACTTCTGATTCAACGTGAAAAATCGTGTTCAAAACGTGAAAGCAAACACGCTCTGAGTATTTGCTTTCTTTAATGTCTAAAAAGTCGTCATTCCCAGTTTAGTTTGAATAATTTAGAAGTTTACAATGTTATATATATAGAGTTAATCATCCATACACTGTCAGTGTAAAATTTTTTATATTGATAACCAATCATATCTTTTAAATTATTTTATTTTATTAAATAAGCAACTGACATGACAATATTAAAAAATATAATTGGTTGCCAGTGTTAAAAAACTTTACACTGACAGTGTATAAGTGATTAACTCATATATATATATATATATATATAATATGTTTAAGAAGCAAATATTATGTAAATACATTGCTTTTTGAATAAAATAAAAGCCATGCAACGGTAGTAAGTTTGGAAAAATGAGTTGAGGATTTTCTCATACCAGTCACTTGGATTTAGGGATATATGTTATAATGCATGGTTCAGAAAATTAAGAGAAAAGAGGAAAAAAAAATGAACCATACAATACAATCTATTGAAAATGATAATGTATTATTACAGTATGATTGTGAAAACTTTTATATAGGTTAACTACTCATTATAAATTATATCTCTAATAACTTCTCCTAATCTAGAAGGTATTTATAACACTTACAACTTGAGATGAATAATACAAGTATATATCTTATCAAAACAATTACAATAAAAAATGCTGAAAATACAACAATTGAAAATTACACGAATAAAATTTAATTACCATAATAAGTAGAAACTAAAATCATCAAAACGTACTATAAGACAAAAGCTTAACTATAAAGTAAAAGGCATATAACATAAGATTTAACCACTTAACACAAATAAATATGCTTAATTAACTTAAAGACATAAGAAAAATAAAGATAAAGTCATCTTAATGTTAACCATTCTTGCCGAAAGCTCATAATAAGGCTTAACCACGATACACAGGAACTAACGACAACAAAATATACAAAGTATCAAAGAAGTAAAATACCGTATAGTTGGAGTGGACAAAATCAACAAAGAAAGGCAAAACCACCAAGAAATAAGTCACACAAACGCAGAATAAAGACCTAAATTACAAGACCATTTGTAGCTACTGTGCTAGATGTAAGAATAACAGCCTTGGCCCACATGTAATCACTCAGCACATTGTCCAACAATTCTTAACCAGTTATCAGACCAAGTTGCTTTTAGGAAAGTGTACTAAAAAGTTCCTTCTTGGTAAAATTGAGTATTATAAAATCAGGAAAATAAAATAAATCAAACATTGAAAAAAAGGAAAAACCAAGAAATTGAGTTGTACTGTCTTCACCAACATATAATATTCAAGAAATAAATGCGAAAAAAAAAACTCCAAGAAGAGGATTTGATGTCGTTGTTCTTAAACCAGATTGTGAATCACCTAGGCTTACGATTCTTGTTCCTCCCATTCAAAGAAATATAAGATGAGCTGAAAAATATAATCTATTAAAAATGAATAATATATTTATAATATGACAGTCAAAACCTTTACATAGGCCAACTGATTACAAATTACATCTCTAATAATAATAATAATATATCTAAGAGTTAATGTAATTTGATTGAATTCCTTGTACTTATTATTTTTTTTATCATGAATTTTAACTATAGATTTATTAATTAGAAGCCTAACTAAAACAAGATTTGATAATTAACCAAGAGGGAGGATAGCTTTTCAATTTACTTGAATGATTCGAGGTTGGATTAAAATGTTATTGCATGAGTTTATGAAAGGAAAAAAAAAAAAAAAAAGGAAAAGGGAAAAGAAACAAAAACGAAAATAAACGCAACTGATTCCTGAAGCTACAAAAAGCCCAACAACACGAACCCTATGTTCAGTATTCAGTCCTGCAAGCAAATAAACCACACAAGGCTGATCATATATACACCTCCATTTTTTTTATATATACACTTTTTTTTAAAAAAAATATTAAATTCTTAAATTATCTTTAATATTATTTAGAATAAAAATTTTTCTATTTTGGAAGGTGTTTTTTTGAAAGTGTGTTTGTACGTAATTTTGGAAAGTACTTTCCAAAATACTAAAATTACTATTTCGGAAAGAAATTTTTGTCAGAATAATTCCAAAAAGTACTTTCTAAAACAATAAAATTACTATTTCGCAAAGTTTTTTTTTGAATTATTATAACAAGTACACACATTATTAATGTTCCGGAAAAAAGTTAATGGAATTATGTAAGAAACTCACATAAAGTTATTTCCAAAATAAAAATTTTCTAATTCTAAAAAGTAATTTCGGTAACACTAAAATCTCCTGAGTTTCTTTTTCGAAAGTATGAATAAGAAGAAGAAAGTAACAAATTGAAAGTTGAAAGTGTAAAATTAAATTTTTTTTAAAAAAATAATATTTTATAAAAAAAATTTAAAAGAAAGAGGTGTACTTATTAAAAAAAAAAAAAGTGTATATATCATGAGCCCATTTCGTATCATACGTCGGCCCATTTCAAGCCCATACCAATCCGCTTCTTGAAAAGCCCTAAAGCAATATTAAACGGCCCAAGAGCCGACCAGACCGCAAAAAAAATCTTAAAAAAAAAAAGAAGAAGAGAGAAATAGAAGAAAGAACAATGCAATGTTTATGTGTTTAGTCTTTTCCCGCACGGTAAACGACTACCGTCGTACTCGTTCGCAAAGCAGCTTCCTCACTCGCCCTCCCTCACCAAACGCCAAATATCCGAAACGCCACCGCCGCCGCCGCCGCCGCTCATGGACTCCGTCGCCGGAGACCCGTCCTCCACCGCCCCCGCGGCGGCGCGCCCCCCGCCGTCGTTCCCCCGCCGCGAGGACTGCTGGAGCGAGGAGGCGACGTTCACGCTCATCGAGGCGTGGGGCGAGCGCTACCTGGAGCTCAACCGCGGCAACCTCCGCCAGAAGCACTGGCAGGAGGTGGCCGACGCCGTCAACGGCCTCCACGTCGGCGTCGCCGGCAAGAAACCGTTCCGCACCGACGTCCAGTGCAAGAACCGCATCGACACGCTCAAGAAGAAGTACAAGATCGAGAAGGCTAGGGTTTCCGATTCCGACGCCGGCTACCGCAGCCCCTGGCCTTTCTTCCCCCGCCTCGACGCCCTCATCGGCGACACTTTCCCGCTCAGAAAAATCTCCCCGCCGGCTGCCGCCAAACCGCCGCCGCCGGCCTGGATGATTTCCTCCCACCCCGTCGGCCCCCGATCCGTCACGCAGAAACGGCCGGCGCCGGTCGTCACGCCGGCCGCCAGAGATGACTCCTCTTTCCGCCGGAATTTCTCCGCCTTCGCTGCCGCCGCCGCCGCTGCGGCGGAGGCCGACAGCGGCGATTCGGAGGGGTGGAGGTCGAGTAGCGGCACCGGGAGTGGAAAAAAAGGGAGAGAGAGTGAAAAGGAATTTGAATTTGGGTATAGAGAACTTGCTCAAGCAATTGAGAGGTTCGGTGAGATATATGAGAGAGTGGAGGGTATGAAACAGAGACAAATGGTGGAGTTGGAGAAGCAGAGGATGCAGTTCGCTAAGGATTTGGAATACCAGAGGATGCAACTCTTCATGGAAACGCAGGTTCAGCTTCAGAAACTCAAGCGCACCAAGCATTCTTCTGGAGCTGGTGAGCATCATTTTCTTTCTTTCCTTTTGTATTTTTATTTTAATTTTATTAAACAATTAAACACCCATATGTTATTATTTCTTGAAACTAAGAAAATGCACTTTCATATTAGTATAGAAATTGTCTAAATGTCATACAAGAACATAAATTTAACTATTTATTGTCATTTTGATATGAATATATGTCAATATTATTATTTTAATCACACAGTTTTTTTAGTTTTGGACTAATATGATTGTTAATTTAAATTTTTAGAGACTTATATGATAATTTCTCAGTTCCAAGGGGACTAATATCACAATGTCATCCAAATTTAAAGACGAAAGTGGGTGGTTACTTTTTTTTTTTTTTGTACTTTCATTGTTCCTGTTATGTATAGCATTTTTTGTATGCAATAAAAGTAGTAGAATGGGGAGACACCTAAAGCAAAACCCTGAGGAACTACTGTCAGGGAAATGCATAACTTTTATATTATTATGTGTGTTTGCATTTTTCATGCTTTGTTTCTGGTGGTTTAAAGGTTCTTTGTTATGGTGTTGTCGGTGGATTGTTATGCTTGGATTTGGCTTACAGTGGTGCGTGTTTATTATTAGGGGTTTGTGAATCGTGTTGTGGGGGGTGGAGTTGGGAATTTAATGTTGGCAGTGATGGTGAAGTAATGATGGGTAGTGTCTTTTTTGGCTCGGATGGATGTGTGATTGTGGTGGAGTTTGAGATATTATGTGTAGGTTATTTACTAGTGGAAGAAGTGCATAGGTTGATATTGTTGGTGTTTGTTGTATTGATATGGATTAGCTTTTAGGTATTGGTATGATGCACCGATATTTAGGTTGCATGAGTTCGTAATCAAGCTAATTCGATGTCTAAAAGAGTTCATTTTTTATATACAAACTTGTTTTACTCTAGTTAAAGGCAATATTTTTATTATTATTTTTCTATATATGTTTCCCTTTGGAGTTTGGATTGTGATAGAAAGAAGTTTGTTTCATTTTTCTCATTTTCTTTACAAAAACAGCTTTATTCTGAAAAAAAATTGTTTGCTGAGGTTTTAGTGGCCCCACTTATATTTGCTGCACGCTTGGATTTGACTAGTTTGAAGATCCACTTGTGTTTTGATACTTATTTTTGGCTTGTTTCTTTAATGATATACATTTATTGATTTATATTTAATGCCTCTAAGTACTTGAGTTCAACTTTTTTTTGGCATTACAAACAATTGCAAAGCTCATGGTTATGCAAGATTCTAGTTAATTGCATTTTTTCTATTAACTTTTGCATGGTTGATTCATTGCAGTTTGACAAAATCATGGAATTCCACATAATCTCACAATATATATTGGTTTTTTTCATTTTTATTATTAAAAATACAAGACATAAACATAAAATACAAGACTTGTCTTTTGATATTTGATTTTTGTTTCCTATTAAGTGTGCTCTTTTTTTAATTTAGAAGAAGAGTTTTATTATGTATGTAAGATATGAAAATATGATAAAGCCAATTGAGTGGGTCTTCTTAGTTGCATATGGTCAAACATTATCCAAATTCCTTGACATTTAATTAAAATTTGATTGGACTCAACTTTTACGAGGCAAAAACTGAATTTTTTCTCATACAGCTTGCTATCAGTCATTTTGTTCTTTTTCCCTAGACAAACATGTTGCAGGAGTACTGAATTGTGCAACTGCAAGATATATACTCCATTCTCAAAACTAACCAAAAAAAAAAATCTCATTTTTTCAAATACCTGACCTCCACATTCAGTAATGGCAACATATTTTATGTCAGAAAAGGAAAAGTAGGATGTTATTAGGTATTACAGTCTCTGATTGACATTAAGTTTGTTGAAAAGAAAGGTATATAACTGTTGTTTTAGACACTTTAAATAATTAAAGCATTAAGTTTAAGGAGAAAATTCAGACATAAATTGAGATGTTGAGGTGTACACTAATATTACTACTATAAGTAAATAATTAAATTTATTATTTGACAATTGAGGGTTAGCTTTTAGTTGATGTCTCATTTATGTTTTAGTAATCAAACCATTCACCAACTCCTTTGTCTTAAAAACAGCTGCAATCTGCATATTTATGTTGGAATAATTTTCATTGCATAATTCATACAATTGTTTATTTGACACCTTATTTTATAATTATCATAAAATTTGTTGCTGGTGGTTCAAATTTTTATCTCTTTTATTATGCACGTATTAGTGATATTTCATATATATGTACCAGAATTTGTGCACTCTAGTATATTCTTTTGTTTCTCTTGGTGAACAAAAGAATGTAGATGAAATATGAATCAGCAGAAATATTTTTTGTTGTCTCTATATTTTAATTTTTTTAAAATAATAATAAATAATAGTTATAATTCAGTTTCTATGGAAGTGATAAAGATAAATATTGTTTCTAATTTTTTTTTTTTCAGTGTATTTTCGGTTTTCTTTGACTTTTTGACCTTTATTCATTACGCAATATCAACCAATTTAATCAGACAAATAACACATTTGTAATTATTAATTGTTGGATATTTTTTTCTTCAAATCTTGAATAGTTTCAGATGATTTCAATATTTCTGTATTCTTTCTCATATGTATACATTTTTCTTTCTTCAAACAGACAGTTTCTCATAGCAAGTGGTGATAGAGAATCCTCTTGAAAAGAATAGATAGATTTTAGCTTGGAACAATGAAAGGATATATAGTCCCCTTTTGGCAATGAAAAAAGATAATTTAGGAAGCATATTTCAGAGTGAGATTCAGGTATGGTTGTATTTATAGTGTATTGTTTTTGTGAAGTAAATTATGTTTCTTTTATCACCTTTGAGGAACACTGGAAGGTAAATATGAACGAAGAGATTGTGGATACTTACTCAATTGGATCTTACATCTCGTTAAACTCACTTAGATTTTTAGTGATAATTTAAATTATTAATTTTATGTTTGTATCCTAGTTTGTTACTTGTTCCTAAATATATCGTAAAATCGGATCCAAGAGCATGGTATTCAAGTTATTCATTAGACAAGAAATGAATTAGTATGGAAAATTCTAAAAAGAAAATATAATAAAACTATTCAAATAAGTTAATAGCTTTGTTTGGTTTTCATCGAGGGAGAAATTGTTTCTTTTTAAAGCTCTGTTGCTGAATATTTAATTATAAGTTATTTTGATAAATTAATATATGGACACCAACTTGTTCTTTCTCAGAAAATATAATCAATTTTCACTATATAATTTGAGGAAATATATAGTTCCATTGCACCTAACTAGCTTTTTTTTTTCATTTTACTTTCTGTCTTCATTGCAAGAAGAAATAAAATATCTTTTTTTTTTTTTTTTTTTTTTTTTTTTTTTT